AACCGCTGCTGTGCAAGTTTGCTGACGGCGGTCAAAAGAAGAGACAAACTCAGAGTAAATATCTACAGAACAGCCGAGCATGGAGGGAAGGAGAGGTAAGATCTCTCTCACACTCACACACACACACACACACACACACACACACACACACACACACACACACACACACACACACACAGCCACAGCCACATGTGAACATTTGCAGACGCCTGCTGTTCATTACCACTGCGCTTCTGGAGTTTAGAGGGAGTCAACTGTAAAAAATAAATAGTTGGGAAAAAAAATCTGGGAGATGTTATTGAAACTTTAATGGATAACTTAGTCTAATATGTCGACAACATTGTCTTTTGTTTATAAAACATCTTTCAAGACTACGATATCCAAAACAATGGATTTAAATGGTTGAACATACTCTGTGCCTTTAAAACCTCAAGAATGGTGGCAATCAACACATGTTAAAAAGTTGAGCTCTTTACATCGCAGCACAACAAATAACTAACAATAATGACAAAACAACAATCAAATTTTTTAAATGAAGTCAGCAAACAGCAAAACAGTAATCCTATAACAGTAACTGCATAATTTATTCATGCTGCAATGCATGCTGGGAACTCCCAAAGCCTTAACATTTCAGCAATATGAAATTCTTTGTTCAGACAACTGTGTTTGACTAGTTGGGGCAACATTTGGGGCAATTCTGTTGGTCTGACAAGGGTTTTTATGTAGTTTCAAGAAAATGGCATTTTTTTGTATTTGAGACTCAAAAGGTTTTCGTAAACTGTAAAATATGCAGTTGCATTTTTTACAGAGTAACAGAATACATATAACGGCGTTACATAATCAGCATGCAAAAAAATGGCAACTGTAATTCGTTACAGTTATGTCAAAAAACAACATAATCAGATTACAGTTATATTTTGTAAAAAAATGGGAATACTATCAGGATTACAATGTTTTCATTTTAGTAAGGAATAATTGACGATGGGCCGTTGAATTATTAGAAAATGAATGATCCGGTTGGTTATTTTCCTGTAAGGAACTGAAATAATTGAGCGAAGTGATATGGACGTGTAACACCATGAGGAAGCAGAATATCCGATGACCACAGGAGCAAGTCCTCTTCTTTCATTACAATAGAACATTTAGCTCAAACCTGTGAGTTTGAACTGAATGCACATTGTCTTTGATCAGATATGCCGAATGCTGCCAACAGACTAACTGCAATACTTCAGGATTAAACTTTGCAGTCATTTTGAATCCTGCAATATTTTAGCATTGTTTAATGTTAACATAATTCAGTGCATCTATTCTTAAGATGTTGAAATTTGTATTCTGTATTTTTTCTGTTGCGGAAACATTTCTGTTGTGTTCTGGTTTCATATGAGCAGAGCATTTAGTTACAGCATAGATGGCATTTTCTTAAATATATAATATTGTGCATCAGATTATATTTTGCATCATATCCATAATAAATATAAGTATCAGTGTATCTCTCTCTCTCGTATGATGGAGTGACGGAGAGTTTGGACCCTTAGATCTGATGAAATCTGCTGTTAACGCTTCTCTGTCTCTCTGTCTCTGCAGATGGGAATGACACTCACATACGACCCTGCCATCATGCAGAACGGGTACGTCTCTCTCTCTCTCACACACACACACATACACACACACACACACAC